GGGGGGGAGAGACAACGGGTGGCATCGCGTGCGGCGTCCGGGGAGCAATAAGTCAGACGGCGCTTAGCCCACGCCGGCCGCTTCCTGTCGCGCGCAGAAAATCGCTGCGCGCCTCGCCGTCCTCGAGGCACGTGGGGTGCGAGAGGAGCAGCCGAGGAGGATCATTGTCCGACACTCGACTCGACTCGACTCGACTCGACTCGACTCGACTCGACTGCGCGCACTGACATTGGGCAAGAATATATATTGAGGTGTTTGCCGATGAGTGTGTTTTTTAAAATTAATTAAAACATTTTTTGTCCGTTCGTATAAAATTGAAGCTCAACGTGATGTGACCAGAAATTTTATGATGGCTCAATTGCTGTGTACGTCAGTTTTGTATGCATTTAATGAAAAGTTCATGCAATAGTGGGTCATGGAATCTCTTGGGGTCTAATACTCACGATCACTCTTCCAGGGCGACGATGTGCAAGGTCGGCTCGGCTTTAGTACTTGACTCTGCTCCATGTGCCTAACTAATCATGTAACATGCATTTAAAGAAGGAATTTACGTAAAACGTATATTGGGTCTCGGATTACTGCATTTACACGCATATAAGACGAGTTTATTTTTCTACTTAAACATATCATTTAAAAAATACGGGTTTACCTTTATAATGGAAAATTAAGCGTAGTCGGTTAGTACTTGTTTTTACATTGCCTTTTCATGACCCGAAACTCTTAAATGATGGCTTAATCAGCTGAGAAGAGGATAAAAATGCCTATTATATATTAATATTCGCGGCATCCACCGCGAATTCGTCAGGCGATTCAGACCGATATTTGTGAATGGACCGGTTAAGAAATAATCTCAAACGGTTGACATTAAACCAACTGAAGCGCAACGTGTGGATGAGGAAAATCGTCGCCGAGATTTTGTTACGCGATGCGCGCGCGGGACGGGATCGACGAGGAAGCGCGGACTCTCGTTTCGACGCCCGGCGAGTGCGAATCTGAGTGTCGCAAGAGGGAGGTTTGTGAACAAATTCCGATTAATAGAAGTACGTACGCATTCTACATCCACAGACACCACAGAAAGGAATGATTAACAAATATTTTCTAAGCAAAAACTTATTTTCAAAAGAAACGAATATATTTATTCCCAAAGAAAAATTAACCGAGAAATAAAAATATGTCGAATTGTATAAATTGGGTGCTGTTTTTTATTTCTGTGTTCTTATTGCGACTCAGCCATTTGGAATATTCCAATAGTTTATTAGACAAAATATGCTTAAAATTGTCTTAAGAGCTTATTTTCAGTGTTTCTTCCTCGGTATTTGTATACAATTTTATATGGGACCTAATATTGAAATTTTGCTTCCTTATAATTTTACGTTGAATATATTCATGGTTCATAGACTATAAAGCGGAATCAGGTTGAAATGAAAGATTGTTAATAATATTCTTTACCTTTGAAATTGTTTTAAACCGATTCCAGATGAAAATATTAAATTTTTGCAGTTTAACGACGCAGGGAAGCTCTAGACTCGCCTTAAGATATAAGGAAATAAGGCGGCCATTCAACTGGGAGCATTAGAGAATATGGGGTAGAAATGAGATGCTAATGACAAGAATGATGTATAAGAGAAGAAAGTTTAAAAAAATGGATGGAAAATGTTATGCAGATCGAAAGGCGTATAGAAAAGTGATGATTAATGAGATCTGGTGAGCAAGAATAAAATAAAAGATGAAAACGATGAATTATTAAACGACAGTACGGGAGGGATGGAACTCGTGCATGCTAAAAGAGAAAGATTAGAATGGCTCTGAGTTGTGGAAATGCAAAGTCGTATGGAAAACTCGAGTTAGAAAATTCTTGGGAAAGCAGCGAAGAGCCAAAAAAAAATGTTTGTCATTTTTACGAAGATTAACTACTCTTATAAAATATGATTTAACAAACATTCAGGAATAAAATGTATATAGAGTGTAATGCCAAACCATAACTGAGCATTAACGGGCTCACAAAAAGTGAAGCAGTGATAGAAACAAAACATAAACTCGATTGAAAGTGAGTTGGTAAACACTCAACTTTACACCTGTCCCTTAGGGATAGTTTCATTAATCTTCAACAAAGCCGCTAACAATCTAAGACGCTAGTGACACAAGAGGAAAATGCTTCTTCGAAGATATCTTAATGCATATTAAAGGTGGAGTGTGAAAAAGGAATATTCCTCACGAGACGGCCGTTGGTTTGCTCTAGACAACTCTAGTCTTTCGAATAGGTCATTTTTTCATATATTGTATTGCTTTGGCATTGAAGAAAGGTCGCATAGATTTGAGTTTTAGTTCAGGACGTTTTATGAAGTAATTCCCAATGAATCGGTCTATGAAAATCTTTTATTGGGCGACAGTTATTCAATGATCTCCATTTTTTAGTTTGTGTTATAAGTAGTCGTGTGAACATAACTGCATACAAATCAATCCGTCAACGAACGATGTTTTGTGAATGTCATATTATGTGTGTCATATGTTAATATTTTCATAAAATTAATAATAAATGTGCTTGCCGGACAGTATCTGTTATCAGGGACGATCTGAGAAGAGACGAGCTTGGTCTGTAGTTCAAACAAAATATCTTCCCTTTATTTGTATTTTATCTACATTCCTAATGTCCATTGCGCACAATATCTGAAAGAAAAATACGCAGGATATTTGTGAATAATTTTGTAATTTGTGAAACTTGTTGAAATGTACTACTCTGCGATAAAATAAGGCATTTGATTATTTTTTATATATAGGGATTACTACTTAAATATTCCACCATCTGGTTTAAGCGAATTCTATGTTGTTCAATACGCGCTTCCCTTGCTTTCTTGACAACAGGTGTTCTTTGCGATGGATAATTTGTTTGGGGTTCCTCGAGGGGGCCGGGGACGAGTGTTGCCAGTAGCCCCATCCTCCGGACGCCATTGCCTGTTTGACACGTGACATTTCATCTCCATTTTCCGATTTCGCAGGTATCAATTCTTTCAAAAGTCATCCCGTAGATTTCATTTCCGAGGTATCGCTTACATTAAAACTAAATAAATTGATTTAAAATAAATTACGATGTATTAATTTCGTAATCTGACTTTTTAAACACACACACGCACACACACAAGTCGCACGTTAAAAGTGAAAATTTTGCTCAACTGGTGCAAACGCCGACCTATGGATCGGTTATCATAATGTGCAAATTCACGAAATAAAGCTGCGCTTTTAACTTGGCCGTGCGTTTTGAACGCGAAGGGGAGCGTGTGCGAGCGACCGTAGTGCCCCGGGGCCAGCGGGAGGGGGAGGGGGTGGGGCAGGCAGCGATCGGTCAAAGAGCGGAGATCAGGAGCGACGTCCCCTCGCGCCGCTGTGCAAACGCTGACGAGGCAGAGGGAGTGGTGCCGTTACCTCGCCTCCGACGCGCTCGCGCTAAAAACCAGGGCAAGGCGGTGGCTGCGATGGCCTGTGCTGGCCTGCCACGGACACTGCACGTAAGCTTGGGCGTCAACTGGCTGGAGGGTGGAAAAGAGGTGCACAGCAACTACTGCCTTGATGGATTTTTCCGCTTCTAATTTTTCAGTAACCCACTTTAACGAACAGATACTGTATCTGTATTATTTTGTTTTATTGGAAATTAGATAAGTCATTCGGCCCTTACTCCGTAACCTTAATATATTCGTTTTATCTCCCGGCGAGTATGAAAGGATATTCATTTTTACTTCTATTAATGATTAATACCCCAAATTGGAAATAACATTTGATTTTTTTCTTCTTTTTTTAACGTTGTCTATTTCATTTTATAGAATTTTAGAATTTGCACCGAATGCAAGTTTTCTTATAAAAATAATTCAAAAAAACCTGCTTTTAAATAGTAGTTCCTTTATCTTCTACGAAGGTTTTTTTCTTAATTTTTGTCTGGGGTTACGGTGTACGAAAGACTGAAACACAGTACTAGATCCTTGGTGCCACCTGAGAGTAATTCATTACTACCACAATTTCGCAATTTGCAGCGTTGGCGCTATCTGATAAGTGCTTGGCGGTACCAAAGAAGCCGCCAAAATCTTGACGTTTATGTGCTTACATTCTCTTTGAAATATGTTCTGTGAAATATTTTGTAGGACTACTTTTATTAAACCTGTATGAGTCATTTACGCTCGAAATCATGTTTCATGCAAAATTGTACGTGTTCGTAAAATTAAATGGCCCATGCAATAAGAAATATTTTCTTTAAAAAATGAGAGTATGAAATATTCCATTTACTTTCATGTTCAGGCAGGTGCCGAATAACTATGTAATGTCATAAAATGACGGAATTCGAAAAAAGAGAATGAAGAATGTGACTAATGCAAATTATGAGATTGAGAAGGAGAAGGTCTGTATTGGGAGCAAAGGTCAGATTGGATGTTCGTGACCGACACGTGAACAAATTAACTTCCGTTTATAAAAATTGTCGGTATTAATCTTCAGTATTGATATTGTCTTTTTGTATAAACTAAGAAATTGTTACTTCCGAAGATTCACATATAGACTATTTACGAAATATTAACAGAAAATAAATCTATCTTATTACATAATTATTTCTGTCTTTCTCTTTTTCCCGACACAGTTTGGCCCTTGATGAAGAGTAACAGTAGTCAGAAAATCCCTAAAGGAATACTGTTTCTGTAAAGTTTTCCTCTTTTCATAGGAAAAGTTGGTCGTAAAAGAATAGAGCTAGCTGAATAAGTGGTGTTCCAATGACGCCAATAAACCTTAAAGAGTTTAGGAATAGGTCCCACCAACGAAAACTTCCCCGCGTGCAGATGGCATTACTTGGCGAGAGGCCTGTCGTAGGTCTCAACACCCAGTTGGCCCCGGCCGTGATTCATACTTGGCAAGCGATGAATTTTGTGTAGACGCATATAAAGAGAGCTATACGCACACATTTATTGCAACTAAACGTGTTCATATTTTTGCCTGTAATATTTTTAGTATTGGGAAACTAGTTTTAATGTAAAAATAATTGAAAACTGATACTTGACAACTTTGCTTTTTAATGTTCAAATTTGGAGCATTTTGATTTTGATTTACAATTTATCATTTGAAACCCTGGCGAAGATGAAGTCTTACGATCATATCGTAAGACTTACTCATTACGAAAAGCTTTCGTCTTCTGGAGAACCTTAAAAAAAGATGAACATCTTTTGTGTCTTAATAAATTTAATCATTAAACAGTACTACTCTTGTTTAATTGAGTCAATAAGATGTATTGAAACATGTTATAAATGATGAAGGTAAGGCATTTTGTAACTTTACTGTTACAAACGTAATCCTGATCAGTTCGCAACAATATCTCTGTCATACAAGCTGGTAAATCTGTAACAAACATTTTATTAGTTCATCATCATTATTGTTCTTTCTAAAATAAAAATGATGGAATGCTTCATTGTATTCAAACATAAAGGAAATATTAGGAACATTTTGAAAAATTAGTGATGCTACAACAGCGTGTACTTTCTCGCGTTATTAACGGCTAAGTGAAATTATAATACCGCAATGTCTGTTCACATCACATGTCAGGGATCATTTACGAAACGTATTACAAATCGTAGCGCATTAGGCCGAAAACTTCTAGAGATAATTCTTATACATCAACACTTATTCCACAATCCAGAACACCGTTCCTTTCACCGAGAAACACAGACTAATAATGACAAGTTATTCTGATAATTTAAACTGCCGTGTAGCTGCATTCTCATTGCTACAATGCAACCTGACAAATCTGGAAACATCCTAGCAAATGGAAACGCTGGAAATTCGCATCTGAAATTTCAAAACATGCAAAGTTACACTAAACAACTCAGATTTTTACAATACTGGACATGCTTTTTTAAAGAAATGATTTTTGGAACAGATTTCATTTTAAAAAATTTCTCAATCAAAATATTGTACTTTTGCGATGCAAATTTTTTGCAATTGTGAAATTACAGAAGTCGCCGAAAATGGGCACGATGCCATTATCTTTACCGTTCTTTGCTACGTAGGAGACAAAAATTAAAGAAAAAAATGGAGCCTTTTTGAGGAAATAATAGTTTAAAATTGCCTGTATTTCACGTAAAAACTACTAATTTTCGAAAAATTGTTTTTATATGAACATGTTTTTGATGAACAAATTTCACTAAGAGGAAAAAATCCTCATTATTATAGATATAGGATGATGCCGAAAAAAATGAAAAGTTCAACAAAAACGCGATCTACGCCTTTTCTTTAAGCGTCTTTTGCCCTGAGTAAAAAAATAAAGTTAAGATACGCAGGTGTTTATATATAAAGTATCCCCAGATTCAAAATATTCTTTTCAAAATCAAGGGGTCGCAACATCAGATGGATCGGGAAATATAACTTTTTGTGATATCTGTTTACGGTTCAGCTACTAGTGTTGTTCAGACATTTTGTCGTAATCCAATTTTTCGGTGTAAAAGACTTAACAAACGTGTATTCTGACTGCACAACGTGTTTGAGGAAGTAATTACTACCTATAGGAACAAGATTTATTCACTTCTTCGTTAACAGCGAAAATATTTTATTTGTCGAAAAATTGTCGTTTTTATCGCAGTATTAAAAAAACGATCGATTGTGCGTAAGCAGTGGGCGAGAAAGTAATAAACTAACGTTCCATTACAATGTAATTTCAGTACTTAGTAGTATATGATTGAATGTCATACGTGAATAAGTTTATAATAAAGGTTTCGGATTTCTGTCTTTTTCTATTAATGAAAGAAGTACATGTTCATTAGACGAATCTTCAGTCCTGTTCCTGCAATAAATATATAATTACGCGCCTCCAATTAATATTGATTTATACGCGACCCTTTCGAGATTACCAAAAAGGTTGTCTTTATAGCCCGAAGAGATCTCTGAAGCCTTTGGGGCTCTGGCAAATCTTTTGCCGCGATCTCTTCACGGAGTATTCGTCTTGCAGGCGACCTCGGCGCCGAGCCGTTGTAATTTAACGAGATACGGCCACCAAATAATCCGCCTATTTCCCGTCTCCGCCGCTAATCGGCTCAGAGCCACCGGCCCGGCGCCCCGACGCCCCAGCGCACCCGCGTAATAGCAACCAAGAGCTTCTGAAACTTTTCTTCGCTCTATTTCCCTTTGAATCACCATTGGGCTTCCGAGTATGTGTTCACGAAATCCAGTGCGGCAGTAATAACAATACAAAATACCAGTGAATTACTAGAATTGTTAAAATTTACTTAATTTACAAAAGGGTGTCTTAACATACCGCCTATGTGACATAAGTTCATTCAAAGCTGCGGCGCTGAAGCTTTCAAAGTGTTTGTTAAACGAAGTTATTTATCTTTACAAACGGTAAATTCCAATCGATTTCGTGCACTCTGCATGCATTTATTATAAATCATTTTTGCTACTAAAATAAGCATACTTAGCAAACCGTCAGGATCTTTTCTTTTGATTCCAGTTTTTGTACTTGAAGTACGAATTTTGTCTCAACTGCAGAACTATTTTCTCTAGGCGTATTCACTACCAGGGTAATATGGTGTAAAACTGCTCTCAAAGAGAAATGAAATAAACATTTTGAACAGTGATTCTCTCTCCCCCAAATGTTCTCTCATTGGTTAAACTCCAAAACCCTACCTACAAAACGAGAATCGCATTTTCTGTATTATAATTTGCAGTATGCTCATTATTCCATGTTTAAAATATTGTGTAAAATATTTAAAATTATTTTCCTCAGACGTACGTGAAAATAATGGAAAATGAAACAAGTTTCTTTCATAATTAATTTATAATTATTTGTAAATCATTTATTATATGTAAAACATTTTGTTTGCTTGACGCTTAGTAACAATTTTCACTAGCTTAACCGTTTAGGGACTTTTACAAATATTTGGAATCGATTACTGAGTGCTAGGATTTGTATGTGCTCAGCACATGTTTGTTCGTTCAATCTAATTAATATAAAAATTAAAGAAAAGGTGAATATTTCGACGAAAAGAACACCCTTATCCTCTTCAAATTCCATCAAGAAAATTGCATTGCAATAGGAATGATGTTGCGGAAAAACCAACTAACCAAAATTGAGATGTCGTAAACGTCCACTTTGTTAAATCAGCATTAATATTTTATTTCGCTCTAATCATCCGTCCAATATAATATTAAAGTTATTTTTAAACATAACTTCTCATTACGTTTTATGAGAGTCACCGTTACATCGTGCGTGGGTGTGCGCACGCGTGTGCACGTGTGTGTGTGTGTGTGTGTGTGTGTGTGTTGGTGTTGCCCGAGGCCGTGGCAATGGCACCGGCGGGGGCGGCAGAGGCCGAGACGGAGACGAGCGAGGCGCTTCGACGGGTGTCCGCGCCCGCCCGCGGGAGAAAATAGAGAGGGCAGCGGGGGACGGGCGGCGCTGCTGGCACGCGCCCCGGGGCGGGAGGCCTCCGCGGCGGCGGCGGCGGGCCGGCCGACCGACCTCCACCCTAAATAACCCGCGGCCTGCGGGCGCTGGACCGCGCGGGCCTCCCCGCCCTCCGCGCACGCTGCCGCCGCCGCCGCCGCCGCCGCCGCCCCGACCCCCTCAGTCCGCGCCGCACCACTAGCCCCGCCGCGCCGCGCTGCCGCCGCCGCCTCCCGCCATAAGCTCCGCCGCGATAGTGTTGCTCCTACACCACGCACCGCGGCGAAACGACGTCCGTCCATGGTCGCGTGTTTGCTAGCGGCCGCCTACTCTATTGACAAAGCCTCTTCGCCCTGGCGGCCGCCAGCAGCACACATCGATTCGTGCGGTCGCGCTAAACGCCGATGAATGTCTTCCACAGCGTGTGTATTCGTCACACCTCACCGCTTACATCGGGCCATCCATTTGCTTGCTCTCGACTCAAAGCACGGATTATACATTTTCAGACAGTGCGTCAGCTAAACGTTTGTGATACCCGTGTGATGAGCAGTGTTTAAGCCGCACGTTAGTCTCTTGTGGTATCGAAAGTCTGTTATATCCAAGAACTATCCTGAGACAAGTGCACAACAGTAAAGGAAGATTTATTCGGGCGAGGGAGGGGGCATCGTCGTCAAGCATTTAAAAATGTGTAAACGATATTTCCTAGAATCCATTGAATCTAATTCTCCGATTAGTTGTAAAACGCGAAGTGCTTGTGCCGTGTGTAACGATGTTCTTGGTACACAATGTGGAGTGCTGCGTCGCTAGGAATAATCTTCGAAGGTAGCGCTGTGCTCACGTCAGCATCGTCTTCGAACTTGATCGCGTCTGCGGTGCGAGGCGGCGCCCGCGCGAAGGTGTCGCCGCTGCTGCCGACGCCGCCCATGGGCTGCGGGGGCGGCGCCGACGCCATGCCATGCGTCGCCGGCCGCCGCCGCCGTCGTCGCCGCCGCCACCGCCTCTGCCACTGCTGCCATGCTCGGCCTGCACTACTACTCGAATGCGGTTTGCGTGCGCCTTCCCACCATCGAGGAGGAGGACGAAGTGTACCGCATCGACCAGATCAAGGAATTCGAGCACGTGGACCCCGCCGAGAAAGAGGCTCTTGCGGAACTCCTACTCGGAGGTGCGCCTGGTACATCAGTGAAGCGTGCATAGGGAGGGCCATTGGCAATATCTGGACTGCAGAAATAATTTGCAGTGAAATATTCTACTGACCATGATATCGAACGGGTGGATTTTGTAGAAATTCCAATTAACAAGAGGAATTTAACAAACTATTTTATTTAAAATTGTTAAAGAATATAATGCAAATATTTTTATTTTTCCCGACATGTTGGTTATAACAATAAACTTAGGTTTGGTCTTCAGAACGACGCAAAGGATATTTGTTTCTACGAAAACTGGGGTGTATTGAATGCTCCTGTATTTATCTCTGGAGAATGGCTCCTGTAGTAAGTCATAAAATAATTCTTGAGTGTGTACTGTAATGCACTGCACTTCATATTACATAATTTTGTTTGTGATGTCTATAGTTGACAAGCGCAGGGAAGGATTCTTTCCGTGGAATTGGTTAATGTACCTATTCACATTTGAAGTCAGGGTGGGGGCTAATTGAAAGCTGAGGTGCATTTTTTACTCACGTTTTCGAGTATTTAATCTTGCGTAAATAAACCACCTTCAGAATCGTTCGTGTTGCTAAACAGTATTTGAGCAGTCGTGTTTCTGCGAACTTCAATAAATCTTTTGGATTATATTGCAAAAGGTTCGTATGAAATTAGTCGTCTTCCTTGCTTCCGCTGTTTGAAAATAGTTTGGCTCATTTCCAATTAATATAGAATAGTGTCAATTGGGACGCTTTCAGTATATCCTTTCAATTTTATTTAAAAAAAAAGATTTGGATCTTCAAATAGCTTTTGCAATTCTTTTAAATCTTAGAATTAGGTGGTGATTTATGGTTTAATAATTATACCTTCTGTACAATTATGTACTGAAAGAACCACCTGTTTTTGGTGACAAGAGGTTAGGACTCCTCTCCATTTTGGTCTATTGTCTTCAATATTTAAAATTCTACATGCAAAGTGAACTATTTATGTCTTTCGGTTGCTAAAATATGTTGACAGGTATGTTTGTCTACACCTAGAAGTTCGCCCACTTTTAGGATCGGTTACATACCTAGAAAGTAATTCCCGAAACGCTAACAAGCAACACCAGAAACAGTTCTATTCGACAACCTTAACACGGCAATCCATTCGCTCCACTAGCAGACAGAGTACGCAGCAACCATTTTCGGTCTCCTCGGTCACGCCGAGGTTTTTGGACAGCTTTGCCTTTGATGAACGAAATGCGACACCCCCCGCAGCTACTTCCTATTCGCCGAAGTCTCCTCCGCCCCCACCTTGCCTTAAAGGTCCTCCCAGACATAAGCAACCTACTTCTCAATGTGGGCAACGTTAGCTTTTGAGAGATTCTAAAAATTAAATGATTGCGCGCGTCTTGCTCCCAACGCAACAGGAATTACGCTTGCAGATGGTCAACGGGAGTTGACCTGCATCTTTCTGGGAGGTCGGGTTTTCTGCCAGAGACGTTTGTGCGGAAGCGAGAAAGAAGAGAATCAGAATGTTAGGATTATACTGAGCAATATTGTGGTAAACGTCCCCGAGTTTACGAAAGGAACGATATTGCTTTCCTAGAATTCTGTTTAATTCTACACGTAGTATGATTCATTAAGTAACACATCAAGGTGTTTTTCGATGTTTTCCTACAACTACAAAATTAAAGAATTATAGATCGATTTTTTTCCTTCAAATAATTTTTTTCTTCGTAAATAGTTCTTTCATTAACGTCCTGTACTTTTTGAAATTTTAGTCGTGCATTTATCGTGCAATATTGAGTGAGAGATGTGTAATATTAAAAATTAACAAAAAGAAGACTTTCTCGAAAACGGCTCTTAATTTTTTCTTCAAATTTTTTGTAAGGATAGAGCTAAATGTACTGTATAAGATGACATAATCGCCATTTTTTGTGTGTGTGTGTGTGTGTGCGTGCGTGCGTTAGGGGCATGTGTGTGTGTGTGCGTGCGTGCGTTAGGGGCATGTGTGTGTGTGTGCGTGCGTGCGTTAGGGGCGTGCGTGTTAGGCGTGTTCTGGTTGAATCGGTAAAGGTGGTGTTCTGGTATTGCAAAGATATGTTCCTGTATGTTGTAGGCCTAAGGATATGATTCGCAAAACGGTTTGTTTATAATTGACGTGATAAAAAAGTGCCCAATTATTTTAACTGATTGCGCATCATACGGACTTGTACGTCGTGTAGCGGACGTTGGTGAACAATGTGTCGGTTTTCTGTACTCACAATACCTGTCATTTTGGCTATTAACGCGGCCATTGAGATAAATCCAAGCTTTGTCAGAAAAGAAGATAACCCTCGTGCACACTTTTCTCAAATCAATTTTGCAAAGCGCCTCTTGCTGGTGGATCGATAGGCAGTAATAGGGGAACAACCGCTTCTATTGTACAACTTTATTTTAAAAATGTGTGTGGCCTTCCTCTCACTCTTTCGAAATGCCGGTCTGTGAAGACTGAGAAGGGTTTGCGAGAAAAACGATCCAGTCGCGTTACGATATCATGCAAGTTCTCTTTAGTTAAAACGTGGCTCTTAAGTACAGTTTTGTTCACTAGCATACCGTAAATAACGTTTTTTGACAGTTTTCCAATCGTATTCCGATGTGGAGGTCTGAATCCCGGAAACTCCCTAATAAATTTCTGCCAACACTTTCTCACGGATTTGCATTTCACGTATGCTTGATACGCAAACACTTTGTTGGAGAGAGAACTTCGAGCGAGCCATTACAAACAGACTGCACAACGAGACTGGAAAACGAGCCTTTTGCAGGGAGTGACCTTCAACCCCCCCCTCCCTCCGTTCATGACTTTCCAAGCAAAATTTGCCACGATGACACACTATACTGCGACTTTTCCAACTGTGCCCCTGGCAGGTATCAGTTGTTGAGTTTCACCCAATCGGAAGCTTTGTCACCATAGTGATGTCACTATAGTGAGGTTTAAGCTCCCGATTGGATGAAACTGTCAATAGTTGCCCTAACCTGACAGTGGCAGAGTTGGAAAAATCTCATTATAATCAAATAGTCAAATTGTAGAAAGTAAAATATAAATACTAGGTGAGTTTTGTTTATTGCTCTAATCATTTCTGAAAATGTAAGCTAATGTTTAGAATGGTGGGGTTCAACTTTCACATTCGAAACTGGTGCTTTGCTTCAAAAGATGTGGCCAATCCAAATTGAATTATGTCCTTATTAGAGCTCCCTTTCCTTTCCTTTCCTTTCCTTTCCTTTCCTTTCCTTTCCTGTGTGTTGGGTGGGAAACAGTAAAATTGCATACAGCGATTCCACCTTTTTTATTGTGGATTCAGTATTTAAGAAAAATGTAACTTCCACCTAAAATATTTTTTCAGTACCTCAAAGATGGTGCAGGCCTGGGTGAAAATTGTACTAATAAGTTTACATTTCTCCCTTCCTATTCATTCCTAGAGGGCTTGGGGTGGAAGGGGTAAACCTCAATTTGAGGGTACATTCCTGGGCAGCTTCAAAACTTTCTTGTAGCATTCATTAAATACATGCTCGCAATAACACTCTTTGTACAGGTATGATTCAAACCTTCCTTAGTAGACTTTGTGAATTAAACAACATATCATAATCAATAATACACCATTTCTAATGGATTAGAAAAAAATATGGCAACAATTACTTTGTGACCACGCCATAAAGAGATCCAACGATGATTATATAAATTATTATCACTCAAGTTCATTTAAATTATCATTGCAGATTCCTTCTTGTCTTTAGATGCCTTTTAAGAGTGTCTATTACAAGGTTCATAAAAGTTTGGCCTTGTTATTCCACAAACTAACTGATCCTAGAATCAAATTAGCAACCAAATTTTTTCCAGTAGTTTAGTTCTTTCCACTTGGGCATACTGTTTTTACCCTTTCCATTAATGTGTTTCATTACAGAACTACTTAGTAGTGACCAAACTTCATCTACTTGTGACATGTCATCAATTAATATCATGTCTTTATTTTTGTTTTTGATCATAAATATTTTCCAATCTTCTGGTTTGCCTTTGTTTTGTAACAAAATGGGTATACTAAATAATAAAATAATAAATCAACAATGCTTCTGCCTAGCATGATACATGTGTTTCAAACCAATTAGCATGATATTAGTCATTATTCATATTCGTTGACAAACTTCTGAATGAAATTTCATTTTTCCCTTCCCTGGTGGGCTGTCTCCTTTCGTCATGTATTCCTTGTTAACAAAGACCAAGAATTGACATTTCCATGTGTAATTGTTTTTTGTTAGTCACATTTATAAGTATTAACTTTAATGGCAATGATTGTTTTTTTTGTTGCAGAGGAAGACGAAAGTCAGATCTTTGTGAAGTTTTTCAAGTTCCACAAATGCTATGATCTAATCCCAACAAGTGCCAAGTTGGTTGTCTTTGATACTCAACTACTGGTGAAGAAAGCCTTCTTTGCTTTGGTTTATAATGGTATGTAATGTTCATAAAAACTCATCTTTGTTGTCACTAGGACTAGACAGATGTTGGTCCTAAGAGTTAAAAATAATGACTTGGTAAAATTTAAAATAGAAAATGATTAAATGTAAATTACATTTATTACAGTAAATGTACCTACAATATTATTGTTCAAGTTTTCATGTTTTTGCCTTAATAACTCACAAGTGGTATTTGAGGCTGCATAATCTGAAATCTAAATTTTTAAGTAATTTTATTGAAACTTTGTACTTTATTTTTTTGGCAAAGCTTTTTGGTTTTGCCTCTTTGCAGTCTCCCGTCCAACTGGTTGAGACCTAGCCTGCAATGGGTAATTTTCTCCAGGAGGGACAAATCGACAACTTGATAAGGGGAAACAAAAGCAGTAGTATTTGCGTACGATCCAGTCTGAATATCTTTGAAGTTACCTTCTGGAAAGATTTCTTTTCCAATTTTCTTCATTTCAATTCCTAAATTTGAACAAGAGAATGGGGGAACAGTGGAATAAGAGGGCAGAAACCTTAAATGAATCACCAACATATTTATTGAGTCTCAGACAAAGACATTGTAAACTTTCCCAACAGAGAGCATCGAACTTTCTAGGTGGGGACAATTCCCACCCCCGTCAATTTGCAGCCTGCTGAGACACTTTCATTTTAGCTTCAGAAGTAGTACATAACTAGCTCGTAAATATTAAAAATATTCTTATAAAATCTCTTTATTAATTTTAATTTAATTTTGTTTCTTCCATCAGGTGTGCGAGCTGCTCCCTTGTGGGACAGCCAACAGCAACAATTTGTGGGAATGCTTACTATAACAGATTTTATCAAGATCCTACAAATGTACTATACATCACCTGCTGTTACCATGGATGAATTGGAAGAACATAAGCTCGATACCTGGAGAAGTAAGAATGAATTCAGATCTTTTGAAGAAGGGATGCCATTTTGTAAAGATACTATTAATAAGATAAGATAATATTGAGAAAATTAATTCTTAGAATGAAACTATATTTTTGTGGTACATCTCATATGTTGCCAATTTTTGCTAAAAAAATAATCATATTGCACACAATCTTATTGAACAGATCCACAAATTATCAATGTACTGGATATAATGCTGTCAGAGTACATGGAACTGAAGGATTGTATATTTAAGTCCGACCTTAGACATGGGTACTTGTGCTGCAATTAGGTTCTTTCATACCAGACATGTATCTTCATTAAACTTCATTTATTCATTGCCAATCTCCCCACATCATCACCCTACCTCCCTTTATATAGGTAGGCAGAGGCAAAACATCTGCTAAAAAAAGGGGGGGGATAAAGATGAACGCTTTCTCCCCCATCTCAGATACTCTATTAATTGCATGGAATTTCTAAAATTGTTGTCATTGTAGTATGTTCTATTTACTTCAATTTATTTATTTGGGTAATTGAATTTTCCTATATTTTGTAATTATATTTTGTTCAAATCCAGAAAAATATACAGGTATCAGAAAATTAAATATTCGAAATATATCTTTTAAACTAATAGATTTTCATTCTTACAGTAAAAACTATTGTTCACAGATGTTTTGAAGAATGAAGTGGTACCTCTAGTCAGCATTGGACCTGATGCGTCATTGTATGATGCTATCCGAACTTTAATTCACAATAGAATTCATCGGCTGCCTGTCATTGACCCAGAAACGGGAAATGTGTTGTACATACTCACTCACAAGCGTATTCTTAGGTTCCTCTTTCTCTATGTAAGTATTTCAAGCATCAAACATTTTGAAATAACTGAAATTATTACAGATATAAGAAACAGGTTTTAATTAATATTTATTTATTTATCCCATATAATAAATTTCAGATAAATGACTTACCAAAACCAAGTTACATGAACAAAACTTTGAATGAACTGAGAATTGGGACTTACGAAAACATTGAGACGGCAACTGAAAGTACCTCCATTATATTGGCTCTTAAGAAATTTGTAGAAAGGCGGGTGTCAGCACTCCCTATTGTTGATCCAGAAGGACATCTTGTTGATATTTATGCTAAATTTGATGTCATTGTAAGTAAGAAAATAATCTGTTTATCAAATATTAATAATAATATATCATTAATAGTTAAATTTTTACATTCATAATCCTTTTTATATAATGTTTTGTTTTCCCCATCTAGAATTTGGCTGCTGAAAAGACTTATAATAATTTGGATGTATCACTTAAGAAAGCTAATGAACATCGTAATGAGTGGTTTGAGGGAGTTCATAAGTGCAAACTAGATGAAACACTTCAGACAATAATGGAGAGAATTGTGCGAGCAGAGGTATGTAATTTCTTCATAGAATTTCTTCATGGAATACTCCAAATTTTATAATTTCCAATTTACAGTAATAAGTTGTTTTTTTGTTGTTGTTGTTGTTTTTTCAGGTACATAGATTGGTAGTAGTGGATGATGCAGATAAAGTTATTGGCATTATATCCTTATCTGATTTGCTGTTGTATTTGGTTCTTCGACCATGTGGTAAGTTAACTAAAATAATTTTTTCATGAGATTAAAATTAATATTAATAGAGTAGATATCTTAACAAATGTTTGACTACCTTCTTGTAGCTATCGTTGTCACACATTGTCCTCCCCATTTAGGCATGTATCATGGTGAGTTATTCCTGTCAATAAATTTTCAGTTTTTCAAAAAATGCCTCTTTAATTTATTGGTTGATGCAAACTTTCGTATTTTCTTTTATTTTAAATGTTTTATATTGCAAAATCATGCACGTTTACAAAACTTCAATCGGTTTATTATTTTGTAGTGTACATATATTTTCCTTGCATATTAGATGGAACAAAATTTTTTGTTGCAACAATTTTTCTTTCTTTCTTGAAAAATCTTCAAATATGATTGCCCTAAATTGTGTAATTATATTGCTTTGGAATGCAATTTGGACTTATTATGCCTCTGCCATCTCTTAGAATATTTAATTATTATTCTTAAAACATTATTGCCTGTTGTCCAACATTTCAGTTACATTTACAGGTGAAGATGGAAGCCCAGAAGGTACCAGCTCTGTGCGATTACAACAAGCACATGAAGGAACAGGCCTTCATCATCAGTCATCTGACACAACAACTTCCACTATCCCCGAGGAGGATGCTAGTGAGGGAGAGGGAGAGAGTTCAGCGACTGTAGCGTCAGTCTCTGCCTCTCCTCCACCATCACCATCTCGTTCAGATAGTCTGGATGCCCCTCCCGCACAGTTGGCATCTGATGCTGCCGCCGCCACCACCACCACAGCTGGTTGGCGAGAAGTGACTGTATCAGGAGGAGAGTGACAGGCATTGTTCCAGTTTGGAGGTTCGGCTGTCGTGATACAAGCTGCATAGATTGCAATTGGGAAGGACAAGAATTTATGAAACTCGCTGTTTGTGGAACTCAGCCAGAAACGGTGACAAAGGGTTTATGCTCCTTGTGCGAGTGGACATAAAGAAAGACATGAAAGCCCAGCAGTCATTAATTGTAAACTTTTTGCCTTTTAAGTGAGTTTCCAATCAGCATGGAGAAATGTTTGTTATGGTTGTTTTTCTTTTAGTACCACTTTTAATACTTTTGAGAGTTTATAGCTGAGATGACACTTGTGTTATGTAACATAAAATTATTTGAGAAGTCATTATTGGGAGAAGATATTGTTTGAATGTTAATTAGGTTTGTTTTCACCCTATACATTGCTTCCTGACTCTTTTTATAAACCATATCACTAATGAATCAGATTTAAAGTGCATTCAATGTATCTGTTATCCCAATTCGTGTTGTCATTTCACTTTTGTAGGATAATATTGTCATGGGAAAAATGCAAACAGCACAGGAATGTGGCTAAGAGGATCAAATGCGTAATGTAGAATAACATTGTATTTTAGAAAAAAACTGGTATTATTCAAACTCACAGCCACCCTTTCACCTCAGAGAAGAATGTATGTGCACATGTATACATGTGTTTATTGATAAGTATGTACATACACAAGGATTTCCTTCCTGCTTGTGCACATGTACACATACATTAATAGCATTGTTTATTGTAGACAATAGTGTGTTAAATTTTTCAGAATTTGAATTAATTTCTAGTAGAAGTATATTTTTGTGGATTATATATATATTTTAACTGAATTATTCACTTCATGTGCTGTGGTCTTTCATAGTATTTGTTAAACATTATTACGTTATCATGACTTTTTTATATTTCCAATGACAAATAAAATATTATGTACATGTATTTTACATGCCTGTTTTTCTGGAAAGTAAGAACTGAGCGAAAGAAATATGCCAAAGGTTAAACTACAATACTTCATTTTGTATCATAAAATAATACAATGTAATTACAGAAGTCTCACTACTTAAACAATGCTAACATACCTGATTTACATTCATCAAGAATTCATTCTCATTTGTAAAGTGCTTCAGAAATGAGCTAGCTAATGAAACATTGTAACTTTCAACAATCCATTAAATGATTGTGGTGATGATAATGATGACATTGATTTTTAACAATTTGACCACTCTGATTCACTGTGTACAGGCAGCTTGCCAAAGGCCACTCCAATAGATCATAGGTGTACATTATTTTCACTGAACCAGATAAAGTACAGTCTGAGTAGCCTGAACCTAGTGCTTTCTTTCTTAAAATGCCAGCATTGTTCTGTTGTCACTATATTGTCTATGTTTTATATTGATGCAGAAGACTGACATTCTCAGGGTAGATATTTACCTGATTGCAGAAGTATAACTCTAATATAACCAATTAATTCTTACAAGAGAACTGTTTTAAGTAGTTATTCCATGGGAATGTTCTTAATACTCTGCTACTCATTAATAAATGCCTTTTCTAATATGTTGTTGGCATTGAAACTATGCAGTTCATTGGATAGAAGAGCATAGTGTTATGTTGTACATTAATTACTGTTACAAAAAGTGTGAAAGAAACTTTTGCACTATCCTCTGAATTCTTGGCTCTTAATTTATTGTTGCTCAAATGAGAGACAAAAAGAAGGAAGTGGTGCAAAATATTTCAACATTCCCGTAGATTCCTACATATGCAGCAGTGATAGAGAAAGGTTACAAATATTATTCAGAGAATTAAGAAAAAAATTATGTAGAATGTACTATTGTATGCTACAAATTAAATCGTAAAGAATATTTTAATTGTATTTGGATACCATGATCTTAAGCATACAAAAAAAATACAGGAAAGAGTTAGTATTAATGTTTTCCCTATGGGTAGAAAGTGTTTCATGGGAGGTAGATGTGGCATTTATTGCTGTGTATTGAAATCAACGACAGAATCCTAAATGGAAGCCTTTGTACAGTGACACAGATATTTGTGTATTTATATGGCAGGTGGTTTGTTTTGGGTTGATTATTGGCATTAAAGCTAATATATTGAATTTTCTTAAACAGTTTCTTGTAGTTCAGATTACAAAGACTGTACTAAATGTGAGTAGCCAGGACATACCACAAAATAGACCTTTAATGTTAATGTTTCTTCTATTCTTAATTTCATCTGCTCATAAATATTTTAGGTTCCAGGTTTTGTGGTCCTAACGGTTCATAAAAAAACATTTATTATATTGATGTACACATATGAAAAGCAGATGGGTGGAGTAGATTATATTTCTTCTTTTAATTCTTTTGACTTTAGTATTTAAAGTAGTTTGAAAATGGAATACAAACTGTACCAAGTTAACTTGCATAATTTAGTGTGGAGTCAAATAGTGGTTTGCTTTGCCACATATTACATTTAAACACATATGCCCAGGAAATTGTATTTGTAACTTGAAATAATGCAATGTACAGCAAGTATTGATTGACTTCGTGGAGTAAAGAGAAATAATTTAACATTTTAAAACTGTGTCATATAGTTAATTTGACAAGCACTGTTTTATCTTGGGTATTTTTCATAAACAATGTTGTGTTTTAAAACAAACTGCAAATTGATTTTAGATTTGTATTATACTTATTTTCTGCCCCATGTCATTTTGTTCTAATATATTTTTAGCAATGAACTTATGCCTTCAAAGCAGAATGCCTGCAATTAAACTGTATGATTTTGATAACTGTGTATGTCTTTTTTAATTTCCATCAAACCTAATTTATAAGTTGAGCTTTATTTATTCCATTTGAAAAGGGTAGTGTAAATCTCGGAAAATGCAAAAGAACAGTATTTTCCAAACTTATATCTTTCCCCCTTCACTTCAGTTTAATTTTCCTTCAATTTCTGTATTATGAAATTAGGATTTAAGACATTTAAGTGTGTAATCTGAAAAGTCAGTTGCTATACTCGTGAGTTTAAAACCTAATTATTCATTTTGATGTCTAAATACAAATGAGGAATTCTCAATTCACATCGCTTATCTATTAGTTCATTTTGCATTTGCATTTTGTGTTTTGGAAACAGTTAAACAAAGTTTGCATATTTCTGTGGTATTAAATTTCACTCAGTAATTGAGATTATAAATGATGTTTTGGAATCTTCTCACCATTTTATAACTCTCCTCTGTGACTTGTATTTCCACTCTACTACATTTTTTTTTTCATTTTGGTTCTTATTGTTTTGGGAATGGATTGCCTCTAATAGAAAGAAAAATATTGTTAATACTGTTTCTGCTGTAGTATATACCTTTCGATTTGGTAAAAATATATTCTGGTTTTCCAAAATATATTTTTTGTCTAAAGAACAGCTGCAGAATCTCGATTTTATGTATAGCATTTTTTTCAATCGACCATATTCCCAGTAGGTTTTTACTTGTTTTTGCCTGGGAATTTCATTTTTAAATATTGTTTTGTTTTAAAATGATTTTACAGCTGTAGTAAGGATGTCCAAAAAGGAATTTATTACTCCATTTGGTAAAATTTCTTATTCGTAATTGGGAACACCAGGATGGAATGGGAAATAGGGTCTCGAATTATCAGAATCCTAAGGATCCCTAATTTTCCACAAATCTGGTTTGTTGTAGAGTTATGAAACAAAAGTCTAAAAATATTCTTCCACACAATTATTCCAAATTACATTTGTTCACTAGTAAGTTAAAAACTTTCATGAAGAGAACATTGATGAAAATTGAAAATACAAATCAAATAGTTACGTGATTTTGTAATATGAATGACTGTGTACAATACAAAGAATTCAAATCATTGGTCAAAGACTCTGTAAATGATTCAACATTGATATCATTCTTCTTTTATGTATGACTCACACTTTTATTGTAGTGTACAATAATTCAACTTATTGAATTTAAAGGAATAACACTATCGGTTGGTCGATATGTCAATATTAGAATCAATATTTATCTCTTGCTACTTATTGAGTTCTTACTATCCATTGTGTACTGATGATTCCTGCTACAACAAAATCTCGCAACTATTTACCGGATGGGTTATTTGGAATTCTTCATTGTCACTTCTGCTCTCTCTGTTTCTGCTGCATTGTTTGATAAAAATAACTAAAAGTCTGTTTCCAAAATGTATTTTTTCATCTGGTAAAGCTGTGACCTGCACCAGGCTCTCAACCCCTTCTAAAGTAATAGAATTTACATATTTCCATTATTTAAACAACAAAAATATCATGGCATGTACTATCTAAATTACTATTTACTATCGTGGTTTAAAATGGGGTACAATAAAATTAGAATTGTGTTATTTATGGAACGAAACAAAAATATTGTTTATCAAGGATTTTGCATCAATAGGCCACATCCTCCCTTTTGAAAATGATGCACAAATTTAAATATTGTAGCTCATCTGCAAGGTCCTGCATAACTCCCTTGATGAATATTTTTTCATGTAAATAGGAAGAGCAGTACTATTTCTATTAACTGCAAAATAAGGGCCTTTTTTAAAATTTATTCCTTAATTTTAAAACTATTATTTTTATTCTGTAATAATTAATTGCCAGAAATGTGCTATGGGGAATGCGTTATGCCTTCTAATTGTCTAAATGACTGTGATTGGATGTTTCACCTGGAAACAGTTTTGACCCCTTTAGGAAGGAAGGAGTAATGATTTGCAGTGTAAAATTGAATACTTATTTCTTAATCTATACAAATATTTGTTCATAGACCTAAAATCCTTTTAAAAATTATTTTTCTGTAGTGTTTCTTGTGAGTACACGCAGAAAAATAGTTACAAGTTTCATACGTAGTTTTTTAGAGAAAAGGATCTCTGAAGACTGTTCTTGGTAAATGTAAATTTAGTTCCAGACCATGGGGTAATAAAAACAAATGAGATCCCCAAAACAAAATGCATATTAAAACTTAAGAAATGTGCTACAGTTTATAATTATAGCTAAAATTGTGTGCAGTTTATATGTTCTTTGCAAATCTCATAATATTTATCTATTTCTGTTGGTTTTATTTTGAAACAATTGATTTACAAAGGGTAGCTGGCCTATTATTTGCTTTGTCTACTTCTATTCATTTAATTTTGAGTAATTCTAGGCTTTGACACCTTTTTAAAGAATACCTGTAATTGGTTTTCACTATTAACAGAAGGTAATGCAGACAAACATTTTTTGCTTTTAAAGAAATTAAATATTATTCATTCCTTTCTGCAGACTTCTGAATTTTTAATGAGTAAATAGGTAATTAATTACAAACAAGACTAGTCGTGTTCCAAATAAAATTTGTAACAGTAACAACATATTCTCATTCATAGCATTTATCCTTTATATTTTTTTCTTGAGAGTAAGTTCATATAAACAATGAAAAACAAGGAAAGGGGAACCTAAATCTAATATAGGAACCAGTTTATGTATTGCGAATTGAAAAGTAGATAGTATGATAAAAGAAGAAAATAGAAATAGGGAAAATATCAAGAAACTATAATTCTTTTCCATTCTCATGAAAGCGTAAGGAGGTTAAGAATTTTTTTCCAGTTGATACTGTCATAAACCTAATGATGGCAGACTACAGTGACTTCCCTGGTGGATGAAATGGGTAATACTGAATAGTTCATACCCAGATGAGCCAAATCACAAACAAAAGAAGTTGAAAGGAACAACAAAATGAAGTAAAATAATGTATTTGTTTTAAAGGAAATTTATTGACAAAGAAACATGATTAATATCACAAAACACACAATTTTACAGATTTCATTATCCCAGAAAAACTCTAGAGGTTTTTCTCAAAATATGGCGAAATGCATAGTAAATTTTTAAATAGACAATCAAACAGCAAACGTTTAAAAAAACAACAACGAAGTAATTCTGATTGCTAGTTGTCAATTTCTTTTGCATATCTTCCTGCCTTAAGTTAAGTAGCAGCTTCATGCAATGAGCACTGACACATCAAATAAAAAAAAAAAAAAACACAAGTACAATTTTGTATGCATTGTACCTTTTCAAATCAGAAATAATTGATTGGGAAGAATCCAATTTTGATTTCTTTTCTCGAGAAACATTAATATTCCTTTACAATATAAAAAGGAACATTTATAAAGAAATGTTTGTAATGTAAATTAAGGATAAGAAAATCCCACCACCCTCTCAAATATTAAGAAAATTCTTTTTGTACATAAGTGAGTAAGTAGACACCGTCCCCAGAACCGCTCATATTGGGACACTGCTCTCAAAGGCTGTTCATAGAAACCCACAGATTTTTTACTGGCAAAACAGAATCTTGACAGCAGTAATGAAGTACTTCCACTTACGAAATTGTCACCCCCTACACTGTCACATTATTACTTTTCGCTTTTGACTCCATGGCACCTTCCCTGCACATGTTAAAATGGATTTTGGTTGGGGATATATACCTATAGAGGGAATATTGCTTGGGGATATATTCATATACTACATATACACTTCCTATCCCCATTAAGTTTCCCAATGCACTCTCACCGGGGCCAGCAGAAGTCATGCATTTGTTTGGAGTACTCTATATTTTCGTTCGGATAGGCACATCTGACAATTTAGCATTATAAGTTTAAAAGTTTGTTAGGTTTTATATTAGTGTTGATTTACCTAATAAATAATGTACAGTACATAAATCATTTATGTACAAAGCACTAATTTAGTGGATGAAATATGCATTGTACGGAAAGTTTCTTTTCTGCATTATTTAATAATTGTATGTCACATTATTCATAGCAATGACTTATTATTTTAATTTTTATTTAATTTATTTTTTGTTCATCATAATGAAAAAAAGTTTTCCGCTGGCCCTGCATTCACCTTTATTCTCCCAATGCACTGTCCTACCCACGTACATATAAACTATCTCATTGCACCATCCTAACACATCTACACTCTGGCTCCAATGCACCCCCCCCTTCCACCCACGTTTCATCCTCCTCCCCCACACGCCTCTACACTTTCTCTTCAGTGCACCCGTCCCACCCACCTCTACACTCTTGCTCTTTTGTACCTCCTCCCATTATCACATACATCTTGTGTCGCCCATGGTGTTATTTCCATCATGGTATCGCCCCAGGACTCACAGACCTGTATTGTTGACGTAAATCAGCTGTTTTGCTGCGATTTATGCAACTCTGCCCCTGAACGTCACTATGGTGACGCTCAAGCTCCTGACTGGATGAAACTGTCAATAGCTGATACCTACCAGGGACAGAGTTGCTAAAATTGCAGTGTAGTGTTATCCAGTGTAAGCTCCAGATTGGATGACATCGTAATAGCTGACGACCTGTCAAGTGAAGCTCCAAGTATATCGAAGTATATACGAATATACTCTTGCCCAACAGATCCCCCCTCCCTCAGCTTAAACCCATAATTCTCGCTCCTGTGCACCCTGTGACTTCCCTCTCCCATACACACAACACCCCCCTCCACCCCAACCCCTTCGAACCGAGCCTCATTGGAGGGGCTGGCTGCCGGGGCGGTTGGCCTTGTAGGAGAAGAAGACGAGCCCGGGGAAGTCCCTGGAGCGCAGCAGCACCACCTGCAGCGTCTGCTCCTCGTCGTCGTCGCCGCCGTCGTCGTCGGGGGCGCCGGCGTCGGGCTCGTGCGGCGCGCGCATCACGAACCAGTGGCCCGAGGCCGAGTGCAGGTGCATGCGAGTGCGCATGCCCGCGCCCACCCCCAGCAGGGCGCCCAGCGCGCCCGGGTGGCGCGACAGCGGGCTCGAGCGCAGCCTGCCACAGCGAACGCGAAACGTAGTCTAGGGACCGCCACTATTCTTCCTTTTAAACATAGTCTGTTGACGGTTTCATCCAATGAACGTCACCTCAGGGACGTCACTGTAGCGACATATAAGCTCCCGATTGGATGAAACCGCAACAGCCGATTTACGTCAAGTGCACGACTAAATCGTACTATAGTCTGTTGACGTAAATCAGCCCATTCACAATGCATACATAAACATGAGCATGACATTAACATTAAAGTTAGGACTGCGTCCATAAGCGGACTCATTTCACAATGCGTTCGCATAAGTATAACACGTAAGACGAAAGCTTCTGTCCTTATGCTTAAGTAAGACATAAGAAATGAGCCAATCACAGTACGTTAACTCAAAATCAAGAATCGAAAGAGGAGTGAAGTCGATATACGAACTAATGAGCCATGGACACAGTCGATACCTTGAAATCGATTCTCACATCCAACCAACAGTATTCTAGAATGTCTCACAGCCAATAGAAAATCCTATTTTGCTTACGTTTGTTAGACTTTGTGAATACTTCAGTCTATCACTTACGTTGATGTTTACGTTTGCATTGTGAATGAGCCTCTACGGTGTCATGCAGTCCGGAGGTTGGATGACACCGACAGTAGTGACGTTTAAACGCCCGATTGGACGACGCCGTAACAGCTGATTAAACATCAAAAGACTGTGAATAAATCGAAGTATAGCGAATGTCCCTGGTGACGTGGCGCGAAATATGCACTAAGCATCGAACTGAAAACACTGGCTGTTACTTCGCCTCGTTTTCCTTTAATCAATATTTTGACACAACACGACTGGCTGTCACAGCATGAATGACTCCCTGGCCTCAAACCACGACGTGTAATCAGGAGACTCTCAGCAATGACAAAAAGAGATGTTTTTAGTTAGAAGTACACCGGTTGCGCATGCGCAGAACACGGTACCCGGGCGCGCGGCGATGAGTCAGAGGGACCCTATACGACTTGAAGAAAAAATAAAATTTCTGTACGATCCTGAGTTAAAGTTCTATTTGCGGACCCAATTGTAAGCTCTGTCGCAGAAGTGGTTCCATAAGTTTCCGGCCTAACCAAGATAATGCTCATTACGGGAAAACGTTCTGAGCAG